TCCTGGACAGAAATGTAGCAATCGAGCGATGTGCTAGTCATTGAGCCCAAACGTATACGCACCATCCTGTAAGGCTCGGCGTCGACGTTCATCTCGTGCCGACGAGATTCCGAATGCATTGCTGCCATGCGGTCGACATGACGAAGTTGTTACACCGTAGCATTGCTGGGAATTTCAATCTGTTCAGTTGCAGGCAGGCAGGCAGGCAGGCGGGCAGCAATCATTGGTGCATACTGCATCTGCAGAGGCCCGAGGTGCATATTGCGTTCATTGATAAACTCGGCCAAACGAACGGACGATGCAGCAATGTTGGTTTGATTGGTGCGTCGGATTCCAACGCCTACTGCACGCTTTTCTATCAACAACATGAGCTTTGAGCATTTTTACCTGTTAATGAACTAATTGCCGACCGATATATATGAACACCAAAAATACGAACGATGTCTGGGCATTATCCCAGATTCTCACGAGGATGCATTCTACCTTCCCCATTGTACTTGGGGCATTAATCCGGTCACTCAGAACAACAGAAATATCTGGTGCGTTGTTTTGAACAACAATTTACTTCGACATAGCGCAATATCGATTAGAAAAACCGTAGTATGTTCTCACGAAATGCACCAACATCCCTCGCGATTTCATGTAACATTGATTTGTCAGCAGCGAAAACACTGGCCTGTAGTATTTGCCCAAATTGTATGACTCGCTCAGGAAGTATCTGAACAATACAGATATCAATACAAAAGACAAAATAATATATGATTGCACGAGACAATAAGATTACTCGATTCACTCTTTGGACGCAGGGCCATCTGACGAGCAAGCTGATCTACCAGCAAGTGGCTCCGCGAAAAATCTGTGGTGTCCGCAGCCGAGAAGAGACTGGTCATGATACAACGAAGGATTTCCGATGGGGTTCAAGTGCTTTGTGGGGTATATAATCTCTCGTCCACGAAGGCTCCGTCTCAGTGACGGTTTGGTTTACTGGAAGTATTATCCAGTAGTCTTTTTAACTTGGTCGCAACCGGTTGGTAGCGAGCACTCACTGACGTCGAAATTACAAAATTTTGGCCAATAACAACGCACTCCTGATCAGCTGAAAAAGTACAATGTTATAAAATTTCCGAAATAATATTACCTTATAAAAATATCAAGATATTACACTACTACCACGGGAGAAGGATTTCCGTGGTTCCCTGTAAGGGTCGGAGAGGCTTGAATTAGTTTTGC